CTATAGGTTTGTAAACCCTCTCATATTCTGACAGTTTATCTTTTTCCAAAGAATTGTTAAAGAACTGAAGAATTGTTAAAGAATTTCTCACAGATTTCTGTGTACAACAGTAGAAATTGTCCTGTGTCTTAGATCCTTCTTACCCCTCTCAGAGCACTGTCCAATGTTTTCAGCTTCAGTGCCTGGGGAGAGAGAGAATGGTTTTTACACAATAATTCAATAATATTCTCTTTATTTCTAAATTTCTTTCCAAATAATTCCAATCATTTACTTGGTTGGTGGGTGGACTGACTGCTAATRAACAATGGACTGKTTTTTTTCACAGCCCATAATCCAAYGTTGTCATAATGSAAACTCTTCATTCTTGAGTGTTACTGGTTAGCTCAGGGCTTTTTTCCACATTTGAAGTGAGGACTGGTTTTCAACGTTCATGTCACTTTCAGTTATGTTACCAAGCAGGTTTTATTTCTGTGAGAAGAAGTTTCTGCAGCAGTGGGGGAAGATGTTGGGAAATTCTTCTGACTTCAGCACAAATTGTGTGATCCCCATATTTGTGGGAATGATGCTTATTTTGGTACCATACAGTGCTTGCTACAAATGCCAGATTATTGTGGCCTTGTGTTAACTCCCTGTGTCTGGGACTAACAAATCTTGTGCCAGCCAATGCCTCCTTGTTTCCTTGTGTTAGTGATTAATATGTGCTGGCTGATATCTTAGTTTTGAGAACAAGGATTGTGTGTCAGAGAAAAGAAGGATAAGGGAAGTACATTGTGACTCGACGACGTTTTTGAGATAGTCTCAAGGAGAAAAGATTAATTAAAAGATCCAGAACCATATCCAAACAAGTCCATGGCAATTGGGATGAATATGTATTAGTTTCAGGAATATAACCTGGTCTCTTAGGTTACTGAGCATGCATGCTTTGAGGAGAATTCCCCATGCATCCMSTGCTGCTAATAAAGTAATGTCAGCTTTCTAACCTAACTGCTGGGAGAGTTTATTTCCTGGTTTTGGTGRCAATTGAATTTATCAGTGGGTCTCTTTCCTAGTCACTCTGTCCCTTAGATTACTGAGGTGGCTTTTTCAAAAGCTTTAAAACCCTAGATGTTCAATATTACAATGTTTTTATGCAACATTTTGAAGTGAGTTTGAGTTTTGTTATTCAGAAAAATGAGAGCGTACTTTTGTCATTTTTCTGTTGAGAAATGACTGTTCAATCACAAGAGTGGTTCCAGTCTCTCTCCAAGAGGTTTAGTTCCTTTAAGAACTTGTAAGAATTTCTACAAACTGATTGGCTTCTTTAGAGAGCACTAATGGTTTGGATTTCCTTGGACAGGAAGAATTAACTATTGCTGTTTTGATGGGTTTATGTGGTTACATAGGTAACTCTTTATTTAAATTTCAGATAGCTTCTTCAGTGTAGAATTCATACTTGCTAGCCTGAATCCTCCCCACATGCATTTATAAATTCAAAGCAGTTTGATAGTTTCATATTTGAGTTCCAAGAGACTTAATCTACTCTTTGTGATTTACCTGTGTAAAACACTGCATGTATTTAACGCTCTTAATATTCCCCAGCTTTTGTGCACTCTTCTRGCTCCCTGGTAGGCAGGATTTTCATTATTCAGGGATGTCTTGAGAAGTCTTTGAGAGGGTGACAGTTCCTGAGCAGAGATTATGTTGGTGTCACAATCTCCATTGTCATACATTGCATGTACACTGCATTTCAGCTTCCTTTTGACTTGACACTTGGACAGATAAGCACCCAGATGAGAGGGATTGTAGACTTTACAGCATGCATTTAGGGTATGCACAAAGGTGTATCCCGGTGCTTACTGCTCTGAATTGCATTTGTCAAGCTTTATAAAAGCACTGCCTCCTGTATTTCTCAATGTAGGGAAGTGAGGCTGGATGTATGGGCTGTTTCATGTTTTACAGTCTGAACTTTCAACCCATAAAGCAGCTGAGGCCTCTCAATCAAGCTCTTCTGTAATGCAGTTCTGCATATGTGGTGCTTAACTTCATCCAGTGCTGAATTTTTGGTGTTCTGTGAGGGCACCCAAATGGTCCAAAATTGCAAAATTGGTAAACTGTTGGTAAAGCAGAGTTATTAATTACCACCAGCTACTACACTGAGTAAACTAAAAGCAGAATTTAGTTCTTGATGAATTGTGTTTCCACCTCATATTTTCATAGCTTTTATATTTAAATTTTTCACCCACCAAACTTAAAAATTCACCTCTTTGTACTGTGTCTTCTTGTCAACATTGTCCTAGGGAAAGACTTATCAAACAGTTGTCACTTGATTTGTGTGATAAGAAAGGCCTTATCCTGATGCTTTTAAAAGTAGGTGGAAATGATTGATGAACAGTAATAACAGTTCTGCAGTCAGTGATCAACAAAAAGTACTTTCCTGAATGGCATGTTTATTTTAGCTGCTGAAAAATTGTTTCAGAAAAGGTTTGTGTAGCTGTTACTCACTGCTACATTTCCATTTTGATTCTGAGGAGAAATCATTTGCCTTTTTTTAAATGTGATTATCTCCATCCTCTAAGTCTGGGTTTGCAGTGTGGACAGCAGGGTGAGCAGTGCAGTCTGGTACAAATTGCAGAGAATATTGGTTTTGCATGACTATCCTGCAGCTCATGATCTTGTCTCTCTGAATTCATCKTGGAGAAAGTAAACTTCAAGTGGCTTAAGATAAAAGAATAATTATATCTGCTCCCAAGTGAGCAAACTCAGGAAGCAGATAAATAGTGGAAAGAATGTTAATATTTTGTTTGCAAGTCACATTTCTTGCTTTATTTACATGCAGCCTTTCTATTTATAAATGCCTTTTTTGCACTCTCTCATTTTCCAGTTCACTGTTTTTAATGTTTAGAATTGGATTGTGTGTCCTGAGTATTTTTCTGAGGTGGCTTCTTACAAATATATACWTCTGTGATCCAAAATAACACTTGTCTGCAAGTGGAATGTGGAAATTCAGGATACTTAATTGCAAAAGGAGACAAATGTTAATGAGATTTAGATAAAGTATAAGGTGCTAATAGTATTTTTCATGGTACTTTATAGATGATTATGAAARCAGTTGTTTTTGACGAAAATAAAATAAGGAAATAAGGGAGTGAGATTTTGGTTGGATAAATTATCCATTTATTTGGATAATAAATGTTTTATCTGTGGTTTTAAGCTCAGRATTGGGAAAGAGGCCGGTTATATAAATAATATGCACAGTTAAGGCTGTGCATAGTTAATGTCATTTTAAAACAGCTAAATATTCTGTAACAGCTTTTTAAAATTGTCATTGCAATCCTGAAAGGAAGTGCCATTTTAGGTAGTCTTSGTTTTGCTCTTTCTAGCTGCTGGTTCCTCAGATTTTTCTTGAGTTAGAGTGCATTTGTGTACATTTAGGGTTTGTGTCATGATYCAGTCAGATCTGAGGAACGTGCCTTGGTGTTGTTATTCCAGGYGGATCGTGTCAGTAGTTCCTGTTGTTTGCTTGGCTTCTCTTCCACTCAGAGCCCTGAACACTCCGAGGTTCTGGGTGTGTTAAAAGCCAGGCAGGCAGGATTAAGGTATTCTCTGGAAACAAGACCTGGCTCCTCCTTTTATATTTCACCTGCTAATTTCCAAAGAAAAAGTCTAAATGGATTTTCTCTTGACAAAGTACATGAGTTTCTCACCAGTTTCTACTTATGGTTCTTTAGCAATTACATGAGAACATCTTTTACAGAGTAATTCAAATTTGAAGTTAAAAAAAAAAATTGAGGAAGTTTTTAGTTATTTTGAATAATTGGTGTTAGTTAATAACAACAGCAGGCACATTGAACAGCAAGGCATCTTTGTCTTTATCTGTAGGTGGTTTTATGTAATGTGTCGCCCAGACTGGGCTGGTGCAGCCTTGGCAGAGCTGCCAGGACCATTCAGGATGAGTTCAGCCCATCCTCTCCTGCACAGGTCACCAGCAGAGCAGGATGAAGGGGGAAGCTCTTACTCTGAACATTAAATACCCTGTGCAGCAATCAATTTAGCAAGGAGGCTCTAAGCAGCAGCACTCATCCACCCTGTTCCAATACCTGCTCCTCCAGCCCTGGAAAAGACAGGATTTTCACCAACCTGCTCGTCCTTTGAATAAACTTCAGTAAAATCATTGGCCARCTTTCACACAGGGCTGTGGAGGAACAGTGCACAGAATTTACATGACAAAAATAGTGAATGAAAGTAGAATCCGTAAAAACTCACTGGCTGCCAAGAAGTATAGCGACTTGTTGCCTGATTTTAGAGCTATTACTAAGCCTATGTGCAAATATTGAGGGAAAGTCTTCTGATCTGTGTTGCAGACTGCGTGTAAATACAGTCTCCAGCTAATTGCCTTTGGAATGCCAGTAGTCTTTAAAACTCAAAAAACATATGGCACTGAAAATGAAAGCAATTCTTGTGTGCAAACCAGGATGGTGTACTATTTTTTTCTTAATTTTTTTTTAAATGCAGCRTTAAAGCCATTAGTCAGCTCTGGGTCTTTTCCAAAATGTCTTTAAAACTTCAGGTAGGAAGAATATTTGTAGGTCACTCATGGAACTCAAACACTGGCTATTTAGATAAAGGTGTGTGTTCAGTTATTCACTTGGCAAGACTGCATCTTACTAAGGTGACATTCACCCTTTTTATCACAAAGAAGATAATTATTTTGCGACTTTGACAAAAACATTGGAAGTTTGATATTTCAAAATGAGTTTTTAGTATTTTTTGGCCGATTAGAAATTAGGAGGGCCTTGGTATTGATCTATTTATACCTCAACTATGAGTGAAAGTTTTCTAACAATCTAGTAAAAAAACAAACTAATAAAGTAATGAAAAATCAAATGTTATAGAAATCAAATAGGAAATTAATGAACTTTTTCTCTTCTTGGCTTTTGTGGTACAGGAGATAAAAACCAGCTCTGTTTAAATRTTGCTGCTTTAAATTTGTAACTGATAATATTTTCTCCTTGCCATTACAGGACAAGAAGGCTTATCTGGATGTCATCCACACCTACATGGAGGTCCATGGGACTGTTCATGGGACAAGCACCATGTACATTCCTGGCTATGTAAAGAACCACGGAATACTCAGCGGGCGGGATTTGCAGTTTCTTCTGAGAGAAACCAAAGTAAGTTTGTCAAGCAGGAGTGGTGGCAAAAAATAGCTCCAGATAGAGGGTGTCTGAAGTGCATGCATTTCACCTCCTATGAATAAGCTCCTAATTTAAAAGCACTGGAAAAAAATTACCATGTGCAAAGGAGCTTAAGTTGTGTTCCGTGTGCTGAGAATTCGTTTTCAGTCGTGTCCGTGTGTGGTGGATTGACAGCTCACATTAGAAAATTGGGATGACAACCTACAGTCACATTTAACAGGCAGCTTGAGAAACAGGGATAAATGCATTTTTCATTTTCTTGGATGTGATATTCAGCTCAAGGAGATTATCAGCTGAGGATGTGCTSTGTTTTACATCCCTGAGGTCAAAGTTAGGTAACATCCAAAAGCTGTGCAGCCGCATGCTCGCTCTGCCCTCCCAGTGACTTTAACCCAGAGCGACCCTGCTCTCTCAGGGAGGAAAGAAAAGCTGCTCTTCATTTGCCATTCATGTCCTTCCTCTGCTTCAGCTGTGCTCAGAGTGAGCAGAAGAGCGTGGGGTTTTGTGATGTGCTTTGCCTGTGGCTCCAGAGTCAAGGGAACTCGAGATAAGGGACAGGATATACACTGAAATAAACTTTTGTCCTCGTAGTTAGAAAGCTTTGTCGGTATTCTGTGCCCTTCCCATTATCTTTGTGGCATTTGCAGCATTAAAACACTTCAGTAGATTACATTTAAATAGGATGTTTAACTTCAAGTTGGTGAAAGAAGGGGGTTGTATATTTAAAATGARTAAAATCTGTGGAAGTGCACCACTGTTGATAGCTTTTGCTGTGCACTTGCACAGAAAAATCTCTCTAAAAAAACAGAAAAGAAAAAAGCAAGCACCTCTTAGGCTTCCCACACGACTGCAGGAATCTCCTTTTTTAAGTGCTTGGGAAAATGGTGGTAATTTGACATCTCTGTGTGACAGCTGCTGGTAAATTACAAGTTTTTAAAGGCAACCACTGTGTATGTACTTGATGCATTGCAGATACACATAATGTTGCATATTAAAAAGTCAACATTTGCTTTCGTCAKAGATAATCTGAGATTACACAGCTTTTGCCTGTGTGGAGTATGAAATCCCTGTGTTAATCATAATGTGGGAAGAATATTGACCTTGTAATAACCCAGGCMTGAACAGTGTCTGCCTCCTAAAAAAACGTGTTCTATTCACTGAAATAGTAAAATAAACAAATGGACTTCCTGTAGAATTACTGAAGTTCTTACACAAATACCAGTTTGTAAAAATAGTTATGTTTGACCAAATCTTCCTCTAAATAATTTTCAGCCATCTTGCATGTATCATATTAAAAAGCTTGCTTTTCAGTATTAACCAGATATCTCATCTAGTTGTTACTGGTTTTATTTGCTGTGCTCTGAGATGCAATGTAAAGGCACATTCAATTTGGGATAAATTCAAGTTGATACCTACATATTATGCAATTTAGTTATATGGATTTTGTGACACAGGAAGTAGCAGATAGTTTCACTCAGATTTTGAGTAGTGATTGCAGTGTCAGATAGAACAGACTGTTGGGATCGTGAAGTGCACCTGAGAGAGCAAGTTGTTTATTTTTCAGGGAAAGTATCTTATGAAAAGCATGGATCTGTGCTGTACTGTCAGGGTCCTAAAGCATTTTAGATCTTAATGATTTTTATACTATTATTGTTATGCATTGGTTATGGTTGGGGTTTCTTTCATAATGCTGGGGAAATTCTTTTCAGAATTTGCTGCATTTCTTAGTAGATGGCTTGGGGAAAATCATCAATGTGTTTCAGAACCCTGTGACAGAAAGTCAGGGTTTTAAAAATTACCTCAGTAAGCAGTATTTTCATATGGCTTTTCTGAACGTTTGTTAACAGGTTTGCAAATGACAAAAGCTGTTTTCCTTTTAAGGAAATTATTTATTTAGGATACAGCCAAGCTAACAAAACTTTGCCCTGGTGATAAGCCGTTAATATTCCATCTGCTTCTCCTAATACTTATTATTGTCAGGGAAATGAGAGTGCCATGTAGTTCTAATTTTGCCACAAAATGAAATTAAATATGGCTTATTGCATCATGAATTTTGCTTATTATCCCTGTCTAATGCGGTTTCAATACATCTAATTGAACAGAAAAAGTAAAACAGCAGCATCCTGCGATTGGA